GATGTCAGTGGCGTTCTTGTTGTCAGTTTCTATCCAGATTGCCTGAGTGAATGTCTGGAGGTGTAGGTACCTCGGAATGATTGTGTTAAGCTAGCACAAAGTCCCTTCCCCGTCCACCTTTATTGTTTTCTTTACAATAAGGCTTTCAAATAAGTCATGGTTGTACGGCAGTGAAGCATTGGTGTTGAAAACTGATGCCATGCTGTCGATGATGATGAACCTAGTAGACGAGTCCTTGAAGATACCAAGTACACATTAGATGCACTTTGATGAATCGGCAAGTCGCAACGGGTTTGAACAGGGGCAAAGCGGTCTTCATGGAAGCCCGCCGGCCGTCACGTACAACAGAAAACAACCTTCAAGGGGACTGATAGTCCCAAACAACAACGGCAATCATGAAGCCTATAAAACGTTTGTAAAATCGTAATTCACTCAAACTCAGCGGCGCAGTGTCGCGACCAGTTTACATCCGATCAGTTAGTCTTATGCGGAAATGGGGGTTGTATTAATAGTGTCTAGGGTGAGCAACTTGTCATCGCGGACGAGGTAGCGTTAGAGTAGCCATTTTGTTATCCAAGGATGAAAAACGGAGATTTGTACTGTATACTTCTGAGCTCATGCGACGGGATTGAAAATTTTCAATTCGGATGGGTATGCACTTTGAGTCACTTAGACACTTATGCTAATAGCCGATCCACGAGGTGTTGTATGATCACCGTCCAATTGGAAAAATCTAACACGGTGCTGAAGTGCCCACCTACTGACCGAAGACATCAGGTTACCAAGAGTAGAGATATGTAAAGGTATATGACAATCTATTATCAGGAATAATCGCTTGAAGTTAAATTTGTATCAATGATGATGATGAAGGTAGGTGCCTGGGAAAATGAGCTGAAAGCTTCGGAAGCGGAACATATTTCGCGCCCCCTTATTCCGCATCAACCACAGGGGATTACAACCCCAAACGCCAAAAACGATAATTCATGAGGCGAGGCAATTTGAGAGAACGGTATGTTTGTACGGATGACTTCTGACCATAAATTCACCCAAGTAAAATAATCTATCGCACTTACTTTCGAGGAATGCTACCCCTCGGTAGCTCAGCTTGCGTTTCTTGAACCCTGACCTTTTGGAAATCAACAAATTTCGATTCGTTTGTAAGTAGTTCGAACTTCACGCGATTGGCACACTGAGGATTGAAGCACACGGAGGGCTGCGTGTATTTAAATGGTTGCTCGATGCCACACATGACAACTCTGCATTCCATGCAACGAAAAGTACCGAGGAGAAGCTCCGGATGCACGGGGTGGGATCGAACCACCTGAGCCCGAATTTTGATCAGGCGCCTGATCTGTGCAGCAGTGAGTTCACGCACTCTATGGAGTCCAGGGAGATCACCAAACGCCACGTAAAATAAAAGTTCGCCCGGCACAGAAACCTACCTACCTATGGAGTCCAGGGAGATCAGCAAACGCCACGTAGAAGTCTCTTCCGGAATTCTGGGTATCCGGAACATGGTTGTTGACGAAATTTTTCGTGGCAAGGCACAGCTCGGGATATAACCTGGAAATGATATTTGACAGATCACCTCACCTGTAGTATTCATCTTGAATCAAGCCGGACAACTTTGAATCAGCCATTATGATGTCTGTGAAGTCAACAACCAGCGTGGTCTTCTCAAGCTGCTTCAATTCTTTTGCTCGCTCCACATATTTCAATAAATCACCTTCTTTAAAACTTTGAAAGTCGGTAACTAGAGGCAGCAACTATACCTGTCTAGGAAATTTTGAAACAAACGTTGGCACTCCTCCGCCACAACATCAACCACCCTGACTGTGCGAACTTCAGCCTGAGCCACATCCATCTCTCATCAAATTCGCAACACCCGGGACACCAATTAGGCACGCATTTAGATGCGTTTAAACAGCTAAAGGTCAGTGCTAAGATTTAGATTCAGATGGGCCTAGAAAGCACGGTCGATGTCCGGAGACCTTCCAAATCCCTGTCCTGGAAGCAAACTGCCACCAGGGTGCGACAGCCAAGAAATCAGTCAGCTAGAATGCGCCACGGATCCACGGATTGATGCAGAGGGTCGAGGCTTTCGCCCAAATTTCCCGGGTCGGTTTTCTTGTCGTTCTGCGGCTGTCGCTAACCTGTAAGGCATAAGTGGAATAAAAGGTGTAGCACTGCTCTTTAACTTCTCGGCGCGGGGCAGTATGCTAGCCAGCGCGAGGACTCGCATAAATAAATGTCCAATAGTCCTTTGAATTGGGTTCTGGAAGGAACGCAGGCGACTATCGTAGTGTAGTATACGGTGTCTGTCAGTTTGATTGATTTATATGTAAGTATTGGTGATGTACAACCTTGCTTACTGGGCTTCGGCTCACAAGCTTAGTTTCTGTTTTCCATCCACAGAAATTGTCGTGAACACCTGCCTTCGGAGAATCCCTGTCCCCTGGTGCTTCCACAGCGTGCATATTACAGTAGGAAGATCATTCCATGGAGCCACTACCCGAAATGAGAAGAAATTTCACCCAATGAAATTGTGCACTCTGGAAATCTTCTCGCCATTTCCCCAGCGTGTGTTTGCAGGGTGAACATTGAAAACCCTGTTGCCCGAGCCTTGTTCAGACGGGGCATACGTAAGAATTAGGTCCCTCCGGAGGCGACGGCAGGCCGGGGGAAAAAGGTCAAGCACCGCGAGGCATGTTTCGTAGCCCATGGATTCGAGGCCGGCAAATATTTTGTAGCAGATCGCTGGATATACTCAATGGCCGTTACGTCTTACGTGCGCCCTGAGTAAAAAAACTTGGTTGGTATATAAAGGGAGCTGTGCGACGTCGGCCCCAGAGAGTATCTGGAAGTCCATGCGAGTTATACGGAAGAGAGTGCAATAATCATCAGTAACACGGCGAATGCTTTTTGGGCCATTTTCTTATGGTGCAGTGAGAAAGAAATGTTTGAAGAGAGCCAGGTAGCCAAATACTTTTTTGACGTCTATCTTCGTGAGGTTTTCTGGTCCATTCTCACAATGTGCGACAAAGGCATTCGCTGACTCGCCATTGAGAGGAAGGTGCCAGTCCAACGACCACTTGGCAGCGTATACATCCATTTGGAGGGCACTGGAGTCGGAACTCTAGGATCTCAACTTTTCCGCAAGATGTGGACATGGACCAACATGAACATCTGGGAGGTCATTGACGTATATCAGAAACAGCAGTGGTCCCAAGACGGAGCCTTGAGGAACTCCAATGGAGACCGGCGCTGGAGAAGAGTAGATAGAACCTACCTTCATTCGGAATGATCTGTCTGATAGGAACACCTTGATCGAAAGTAGCGCTCTCCCTTGAATCCCGTAAGAGTCGAGTTCGTGTAGCAGTTGGATGTGCGGGACTCAATTTAATGTTTTTGAGAAGTCGAAAAATATGGCATCCGATATGAGTCCTTCTTTCTTGGCTTGAGCTAAGCTGTCAACAACCACGAGCACATTCATCACGCAAGAACGTTTTGGGAAAAAATCCGTGCTGAACGGGGGGCATCAAGTTTTTGGAAGTAAGGGGATCTAGGATAGCTCGCTTCAGATTGCATTCCATAGCCTTGCAAGTCACGCTAGCGAGGCCTATGGGCCTGTAGCTCCAAGGCGATAGCTGGTTACCAATTTTGTGGATTGGCGTGACAATCGCTTCCCTCCAAGCGGAGGGAAGGAGGCCTTCGTTAAGCGACTGACGAAACATAAGTTACAAATGATCTGCCAGTGTAGACGGAACTTCCCTCGAGATGCTTGGATGGACCTCGTCGAGCGCCAATGCGCAGAATGGTTTAATCTTGTAAAAGAGTTGGCGAATAATATCAACCGTGAAGACAGTCGGTTAGAGGCTGTTCGCAGTTACGGGTTGACAGGATTGAATGTGACGAGGACGCTGGGGCATAATATAGATCTGCATAGTGTTCTCTGTAGAATTCAGATATCACTACTGGGTCACTCGTGGTTTCTCCGTTCCTGTCTTTCAAGAAGATCGCGGACGGCTTGTTTCTGCGGCGATGTCTCATGTATTTGGACGGCATATTTCTGGTTTTCCGGGGGAGGTCCAGAATAGTGACCTGTTTTTGTATGCTCCGTTGGAAAATTTCAGGTTTACAATGTTTCCGAATTTTGCGAAATGCAAGATAATCATTTGTGTCTCTCGTATTCAACTTCTTGAAAAGAAGTTCAGACCTCCTCTCCAGAAGACCCCGAATCCTCTTAGGTAGCTTGCGGCTCATCCAACTGAGTGCTGATTTTGGGGAAGAACATCGCGTCAGCCCATGAGCTTTCTGGACAATGGTCCTATGTACGCCTTCCGCTGAAGCTGGTCTCAGTTAAACATGCTCCGGAAAGACTCGCATTCCTAAAAAGTCTGCACGGCGGAAGTTTTGAAATCACGTTGAGGGTTCGGAATTTCTGGCTAGATAGCAGACGAAATCAGAGGTCAACACACAGTGGGCGCTATTTCCCAGTGGAGCATGAATTACTACCCTATCACCTATGTGTATTTCTCTGGTCATGACCTTATCTAGGAGGGTTGGTATTTGACCTGCGCGGTATGTAGTGGGTGCAATGACATGTTGAGTCAATGCGCTCTGTTGAACGACTTTGATCAGCGCCGCTACAAAACTTTCAGTTGATGCGATGCGCTAGAGCCTTATCCAGGGGGCGTTTGGAGCGTTCAAGTCGCCTACCAACAGGAGATGAGTGAAGTGGTAGCTGGATGAGAGTTGCTCAAGGGTTCACAAAAGAGCTGGTCATCTTCCGGAGGCCTAGAGTGGCAACAGTAGACCACACTGAGAAGGTGTAGTTACCCTTTCGCCACACATATGACTGTACAGGTCACCGACACTCGCTAGATCACGAGATCTGTCTTTTTTCTTGCACTCACAAATCACGCCATAGAATGGTGACTCGCTTGACTACACAGCTTGCAGTCAAGCCCTTGATTCCATCATCCATCATCTTCCTTTCCCTGCACATACAAGTCATGACACATAAGGGTGATTCATCTGACATCAATTGTCCACCGTCCGATAAAGTGGCAACAAGCCATGTGCTGACACCAACATACACGCAAACGTCCCTACATATAGGACAACAGCACAACAACACAACACAACTCAACAGAGTTTCGCACGCCGCCCAGCTCGGAGCAGAGCCGCTCAGGACTTTACGGCGCTTCAGTCACTGATTTCCAGGACAACATGTGGCCGTTACAACAGCGAAGACGATACGAAACCTGCATCCGGACTTACAGCAGGATTTATCAAACTGTACCTGCAAAACGATAAGTCCCTTGTTTGCATATATACCTGTTGTAATAATTTTACTCAACAAGCAGACATTGTTGGTGCTCTACGTTTTCATATAACTAGTTTTCGGGTCCTAGCAGAGCATTAAAAAAGGAGAGAATCTGCCACTCACAGTGGAATTTTAATCCGTAGCGCATCGTAAGAGGGTGCAGGGTGGTATCATAGAGGACAATGTGGATGGGCAGGGCCGCATGTAAGTAGAAGACACCCCCACCAGCCCTCCCTCTTTTTGTGTCGGCTCGAAAAACAGAGTAGCTGTCTATGGGGATCTCCCCATCAGGGACATCTGGGGTGAACCAAGTCCCTGTGAGTGCGATTATGGACTGTTACTAAAGGCGGACTAACTGTTTACTATCGCAAAGCTTGTTGAAAAGGTTGTGGCAGTTTGTGGAAAAGCATTTCAACACTGTCTCTGCTGCTGAGGAGCCGAGAGTTGTGTGGCCAGAAAGGTTGGCAGACCCAATAATTGTACGCAGGGTTTGAGCTCAAGGTTCCGGAGGGTCCCCTAAGGCATAATTTTCTACTTCCTGTCTTGTTGGTTTTGAGGACTGTTTTTCAGTTGCAGGGTTTTTTCACCCCGTGGTAGCCCGGCTTGCGCGAGCAATTGAACTTTGATGGACGATTTTTTCCCCGTGGGCGAAAATTTTGGCCACTGTTTCGTGTAACTCTTTCAGTACCGCCTTCTGGATGACCAGATTCTCTGTTTTTCAAGGCTTTGCTGAAAACATTTGTCTGTTTGGTTTTTTGGATGTCTTTGCGCGGTTTCATCGGGGTGTTTCCTTGAGACCATGAGCGTTGGGTGGCAACACCGATAAGTAGCGTTTTTGGTAACGCTTTCATGAGGTCTTTTTTGCATAAGACTGCACCTTGAAGCTGGCCAGCAGTGTTCTGATCTGGCGTATCTTATGAGACTTGTTCGATTATAGTTGCCTTAGTGTATCTTGAGTAAAATTCGAATTCGGTATTTTGTTCTCGGCGTAATGATTACCGAAGTACAGAAATTTGTTTAAATGTTGTCGACTGAGTAAACCAGAATCATAAGACGGGTATTTTGCGTAGGTCCAATGTGAATTAGAGGCACCCAGTAACTATGCGGCGTATGTAAAAAAAGCTTACCAAGACTTGTTTTCGGTAGTTTACGTGCGATTGTAAGAAAACTGGAAACCTGGAGGATGTACGACCAGTTGCGGTACGAGTTTTAAGGTAAGACCGGAGGGCTTATTAGAAGGTGGCAGTGAAAATTGCGTTCCCGGGTAGTGATGATGAACAGACCGGCTCATCTGTGAAATCATTCGGGAATAGGAGAATTACGGACAGCAAAAAGTTCATTCTCCCTCCAGTGATGCATCCGTGTTGAGGGAGCTTGTGTGATACTCAGGGTCGATGTTGCGGACAATGGTAGAAATCTGGTTGCCAGTCACATAGAGGAAGCCATTGGCTCCTATAAAACTTGGATGACATCTGTAATTTGTCAGACGGAAAGATGGATACAAGATTTTATCGGGATGGGGAACTTCCGGGACC